ATGTCTGCATCTTGTACAGCAATTAACCACTAGGAAGAATGTATGTAATGTGTTAATTATTGAAACTGTCCTACCAATTTGATTTGAAACTGTCTCACTGCTATTTGTTTATTAATAAAATTATGGGGAAAAAATAAAATAAAAATTAAAAGAGGTATGGGAATGTACTCCATGCAGAAGTCCAGTGTTGAATCTTCAGGACCATGAAAACAAAAAAAAAGGAAGGACAAAATGCATACACCACTGAAACCCAAATTCCACTCCTGGTCACTCGGCCTATAGGTTGACACACTCAACATGTGCAAAACGATGTGGGTTCAGGGCTGTTCCCTGCAGGGCCACAGGTGCTGACTGGAGACCAGCTCGGAGCCCATCAGAGCAGAACACGGTAATGCACGCACCGGACAGCTCCACAGTGTGTAGCCGGAGGATTCTGATCTCTACATACAGGTAGGACGTGACCGCCAAGATAACCGCGCAGAGTACTCTCTCAGGGCCTCTACCAGGGAAAACATACACCTGAGCCGCTGTAGCAACACAGGACATCAGGGAAGACGCACAAGGAAATGACCTGCTTGCCTGCCCTCGGCAGGTGTGGGGGGACCAATAGCAGCAGCCTCACATATCACCTGAATTTTCAACAAGGAGGAGGGTTAACTTTTTGAAAATAAATAAACAGGACAACTAAGAGCAACCTGTGTTCCTGGACCAGAAGAAAAGTTTATGTTTGAAAAAATACTTGTGGACACTAACAGGATTGTCTCAATGTTAGTTTCCAGAAATTTGATTGCTAAATTGTGGTTATATAAAAAGAATAAAAAGAATAGTTTGGCCACAGTAGAGCAATTAGGGATAAATACGTGGTTCAGAAAACAAAAATAGGGGGCTGGGGAGATGGCTCAGTAGAATAAGTGCTTCCCTGGCAAGCACAAGGGCCTGAGTTCAATCCCTGGTTCTGCCAAAAAAAAAAGAAAAAGAAAACAAAAATAGCCAGGCAGGTGGCACATGCCTGCAATCCCAGGACTTGGGAGGCAGAGGCAGGAGGATCACTACAAGGTGGAGGCCAGCCTAGGCTACACAGAAAGACCCTGTCTCAGATAAATAAATAAATAAATGTAGTGGTTATCTATATGGAGACAGAGAGAGAAAATAATAAAATGAATGTTGATTTGTGAGTACTTTTTAAGACACAATTATATTTGAAAAAAAAAATAAAAATAAAATAAAAATAAAAAAATAAAAATAAAAAAAAAGACACAATTATATTTTAAAGAAAATATAAGGGCCAACTAGATAGCTCAAGAGACTAAAGCGCCTACTTAGGCAGAGTGCAGCCCACAGGGTTCAATCCCTGGCGTGCCATGCCAGCGTCACCCTTGGGGCGTGCTGAGAGGTGACTGAGACTGGGCATGGTGGTGCACAGCAGCTTGGGAGGCTGAAAATAGGAGAATCACTAAGGAGTCCGATCTACATAGTGAGACTCTATAGACCCTGTCCTAAATACATTTAAAAAAAGAAAATATAAGCTAAACTTGGTGGTTTATATCTCTAATCCAAGCTACTCAAGAGGCGGAGGTAGGAAGATCACAAGTTAAGAACAGCCTGAGCAACTTAGCAAAACCCTAGCCTCAAATAAAAGAAAAGGCCTAGAGATGTAGCTCACTGGTGGAGCACCTATTCTTCACAAGCTCCCAGGTTCAACTCCTTCCACAAAAACTAAACCAATTAATAAAAAAAAGAAACATAAGAAAAAGAAAAGAAGAATAATAAATTTAAAAATAAAGTATTTTTTCCCTTCATGGTGCTGGGAAATCAAACCGAAGCCTTCCCACTTGCTAGATATATACTGCACCACTGTACCACATTCCAGCTCCTAAAGTCACATTTTAAAGAAAAAACAGGGTCTGGGGCCCAAGAGAAAGCTCAGAAAGCACCCGCTCAGGCAAGCTTAGGCAGGCACAAGGGACCACAGGAGGTTTGATCCCTGGCACCACATGCCCTGCCAGCCCCGCCCTCAGGGCAGGAGGAGCCGGCCAAAACAGTTTAGAAAAATAGGGCCAGGGCTGGCCAGATAGCTTAGCAGACTCAAGGGCCAGTTTAGGCAGACTCAAGGGCTGAGAGTTCAATTCAGGGTCCGCCGTGCCAGCCCCACCCCCGGGGCACGCTGAGATGGTGACTGAGACTGGGCGTGGTGGCGCACGCCTGTAATCCCAGCGCTTGGGAGGCTGAAAAACAGGAAGGATCACTGTACGTCTGATCTGTGCAGTGAAACCCTGAAGACCCTGTACTAAACACATACATACATACATACATACATACATACATACATACATTTAAAAAAAAAAACAAAACAGGACCAGGAAGATAGCACAGCAGCATAATCGCCTGTCTGACAAGCTCAAGGTCCACTGGAAAGAAAGAAAGAAAGAAAGAAAGAAAGAAAGAAAGAAAGAAAGAAAGAAAGAAAGAAAGAAAGAAAGAAAAGGATTTCTGCATGAATAAGAAAGAATAAAAAATAAAAAGAACAGTGGCATAATTAGAGCATTAATCAGGACACCTACTGTTCGGGACCATAATTCCTTAAATATATTTAATCCATGAATTCGTAATGATACTAAAAGAAAACCTGAATTGACAAATGAACTCTCTTTTAAAGACAAGCAAGTTGGGGCTGGTGAGATGGCTCAGTGGTCTAAAGCACCTACTTAGAACAAGCTTAGCAACGCACAGGGACCACGGTTCAATCCCCCAGCGCCACATGCCAGCCAGCCCCGTCCCCTGGTGGGCTGAGCTGGACACACACACACACACACACACACACACAAATAAATAAAAATTTAAAAAAAATAATAAAAAATAAAGACAAGCAAGTAAAGTGAGCATTCGTCCTGCGTTTCCAGCAAAATCTGTGCTTCTGGGAGACCAAACAGAAAGCCTCCCCTCATGGAAGCATTTTGCTAAATTAAATGAAAAAGAAATGAGAGAATTGGAATTTTGCCATGGGCAACATCTGATGAATGAATCCACGAATCTAGGCACCAAGCTCACACAAAAGCATCAACAGTCACCGGCCCGGGGAGGTCCTGAGCATCCACGACTCTGTTCAGGCTTCTACATCCAAGCACACAAGAAATACAGAGGCCAAGAAACCCAAGGATGCCATCAGCAAACCCTTCCCGGGCAACTCTACCACACCTGAACCAAATGCACTAAGACTCTCCTCTCGCCACTCTTCCCCCTCCAATGAGGCAGGACAACTGTTTACACAGAGCTGCCATTGTGTCAGGTACTACAAGTCACCTAAAGGTGATTTAACACACACAGGAGCACGCCCACGGGTGATACACAAACACCATGTCGTTTCATGGGAGAGACCTGAGCTTCCTTAAATATTGGTATTCATGGGGGTCCTGCAGCCAGTCCTCCATGGAGCCCAAGGGAGAACTGTCTTGCCACTCTGCTGGCCCATGTGAGCTCCTGAAGCCCCTGGGAGTAGGGAGGACACAGCTCTACTTCACACAGTGGAATCCCAGACCCAGGCGCCTGTGCCGGCCTCAGCCTCTGCTTCCTCCAGCCTTTGACACTCAGCACTAAGCAAATCCACGCAGTACAGGCTCAGCATAGGTGCCCGTGGTGCTTACGTTAAATGAACTGACCAACCTTCCTGCACATGAGCCTAGAAACTGCTCCATTAGTCACCTGTGGCGGACAGGCCTACAATCCCAGCTCTTGGAAGGCTGTAAACAGGCGGATCACTACAAGTCCGATCTAGTAGTGAGACCCTGAACACCCTGTAGACCCTTCTCTAAAACACAAAAAAAACGGCCGGGGAAATAGCTCAGTAGAATAAGTGCTTGCCTGGCAAGTGTAAGGGCCTGAGTTCACCGCTTCCCTCCCCCCCGAGTTCCGCAAAAAAATAAATAAAATACAAAAAAAAAAAAAAAACAAGTAGCAGAACCAGGCATGGTAGTGCATGCCTGTACTCCTGGCACCCAGGAGGCTGAGGCAGGAAGATGTCTGTGAGTTCAAGGCCAGTCTGGACTGTATAGCGAGACCCAAACCAAGTGGCTGCCCTGCTTCTGGGAGGTGGCCCAGCGTCTCATAGGGGTGCAGGAAGGAGACCCTATCAGTATACTCTGGTCACTTTTCAAATTTGCCCCTGAGTGTGCACACTGCCACTTGGCCCATGGGGTGCTGGGCAGAAGGAAGGACAGAACTGCCAACAGGAGCCATCTAAACAGCCGGCGAGCCCGGCCCACCTCTCCTACCCCTGGGGCAGGCTGTTCAGGCAAATGGCTCTGTCCTTAGCCCTCCCAACCTGTGTGTGAGAACAGGTCAGGCACCTGCAGAGAACTGTGCACCGAAAAGAGGCAGGAAGAGGTGGAGGCCGCAGCCGAGCGGGCGTCAGCGGGGTCCTGCAGCACCACCAGCTGGCGGTCTGTCTTCTGGGTGAACAGCAGCTGTGGAGAGGGCAAAAGGCTAAGATGAGACAGAAGACCACAGAGGAACCACCAGTTCCTACAAGCTCTGACCCGGCCTTCAAGGCAGCCCATTTCTCAGATGGAAAAACAAAGTCCTGGTCACATGGAGGCCAGAACGTCAGGCTATGATCCTTAGTGTCCAGTCTCCCAGGGTAAGGCTATGGGCAAAACTGCTGCTTCCCTAAGAAGGACTAGCTGGGGCCTGATGTCCTGAGTCCTCAGGATCAAAGTTCTCGGGGGTGAAGACCCCAAGGGAAGAGGGGATCGGGACCTAGACCCCCAGGTCTGAAGGAGGAGGGTCTGTTAAGTGATCAAAATCCTCATACCTTGGTGCGGGCTTGCTTAGACTCAGAGAAATCCCCGCTAAGTGTCCCCTGAAGGCGACTAAGCTCGAGCAGCCGACTCCGTTCCTAGAAGAAGACACCATGGCTACCACACCTCCAAGTCACCATGGGCTGGCCCCACAGCTTTCCTGATGTGGGGAGACAGTGCAGGTGTGGGAAGACGGCAGGACGCCAGGGGAAGTGAGGACCCAGGACAGGCCTCTGGGGACCGACGCACCTGCGCCAGCGCCTGCCGGGCGTCCTCCTTCTTCTGGCTCAGGCCCCAGGTCTCAGCAGCCATCTGCACCTTCAGGGATTTGAGCTGCTCCTCCAAGACCTGGATGCGGTGCTGCAGAGCGCCCTGCCTGGTTACTAGCTGGCCCAGGGCCCCAGCCCACTTCCCCCAGGAGCAGGTCCTCCTAGGGGCCTGGGGTCCACCCCAGCTTCTCAAGGAAACCACAAGCCCTGAGGGTGCAGGGCCGAGGGCTCAGAGTTAAGCCCCCCAGAGCCCTCTTCTCTTTGAGAGATCTAAGAAAGATCTAGCAGGGAACAGAGCAGCTGATTCAGAAGCAGAGGCCAAGGGGCAGAGACCCAGAGAAAGTCATCAGGAATAGAGACACAGGGACCGCCAGGGAGACAGAGCAGGGCAGGGCAAGAACAGCAACCAGGACAGACCCGAACACAGAGATGGAGACAAACTGCAGAGAAAGGACACAAGATGGAATCAGACAGAAGCCATCTGAGACACAGAAAGGGCAGGGATGGGGCTAGTGAGATGGCTCAGTGGTCTAAAGCACCTACTTAGAACAAACTAAGTTCAATCCCCCAGCTCCACATGCCAGCCAGCCCCGCCCCCTGGTGGGCTGAACTGGCCACACACAATAAATAAATAAATAAATAAATAAATAAATAAATAAATAAAAGAAAGGGCAGGGAGAAAGGTAGAAAAAAGATCTAGAAGTAGAAATGAAGAAAGGAGTTTTCCAATCCCAGAGAGCAGAAAACTGCAAAGATGGTAACACCCCCACCCCTCCATCCCCCACTCCCTCCCCCATCCCCCAGCCCCATTCCCTCCCCCTCCCCCCCCACCCTTTTCACACAGGACTTGTCAGGGCCATGGAAGGGAGGCAGAAATAAAGCACTAGTGGTTACATCTGTTTGGGGTAAAGGCTTGGGAACGACCCTGAGTGAGGCGGTGAAGGCCAAGGAGGTTTATCAGATACTGCTCACTTAGTGACCGATCTCTGATCCTGCAACTAGATCATGCAATATTAGAACAAAGAAACGGTCAGAGGAAACTCCAACTTGACGACTTGGTTTTTATTTGCATAACTCTTACGGACAGTACTATAATGTATAATGGTACATAAAGCTACAGTACTATACTGTATAGTACAAGCTGCAAAAATGACGGTATTGTACACCAAGGTGCACTGTATACTGTTCCAGAAAAATAGAGTGAAGCAGTATAAACAAGATGTACAGAACTGTACAAAAACAAAAAAGGCAGGTCATTAGCCTGAGCCACGGGTCTTAAGTCCAACCAGTCATCACACAGGTAGGTCATTAAATGAGGAGTACCTGTATTTTAGTGCTATCGTGTTGAACTAAGTGACCTTGGGAAAGAGTGTGTGAGTGACCCATAGCACCCTAACCATTCTTTTATTGTGGTACTAGGGACTAAAGCAAGAGCCTGACTCAGTGACAAGCTCAGCACCTTCCCCCTTCCAAGACAAGGTCTCACTACATCACTCAGTTGCCTGGGTTAGGCTCATACTTGGAATCCTCCCGTCTCAGCCTCCCAGAGTGCTGGGATTACACTGTGTGCCACCACACCCAAGTGTTCCTTCATTTATGACACAGGAACAGAAGAACAGGCCTTGCCCCCTAGGTTTGCTATGAGGATTTAAGAAGTGATTACTCATAAAGTGGTGACAGTCATGGCAGGCACATAGTTCATGTTCAGTAAGTGCCAACGAGAGCAGGGCAGAGGCAAGGCGAATGTGCCAAGGCTTACCTTGTGCTGGGCCACGCTGGTCTGAAGCTCCAGGACCTTGGGGTCTGGTGCCTGCGCCCCAGGGTTCTCTAGATCCTCCTCCTCCTGCCGGCTCTCGCGCTCCAACTGCTGGAATTCCAGGTCCTCATAGGCCCGCTGGGCCACTTCCAGTTGTTCTCTTAGCTGTTGGGGTGGAGAGCACCAAAGGCTGGAGACCTGGACCCCTAGCACCCAGGGGAGCAACAGCCTGGAGCCAGAATGCCCTGGTCTAAGAGAGGAGGGCTGGGCCTGGACTTCTGGGACTGAGGGCAGGGGACCTGCACATCCGACTGCTGAAAGATGCCGAGCACTCACCTCCTGCACCTGCTGCAGAAGCCGCTCGTGCTGGTCCTCCGGCTGCGAGTCGAGCTGTGCTTGGGCCTCTCTGAGTCTCTGGCGAAGACATTCCACCCGTTTTCGCTCCTGGCACAGTCGCCGCTGTTCCTAAAACAACAAACAGGTTCTCAGCCTCAGCCGAAGCTCAACCTGAAGAGCCAGGCCAGCGCTGAGCCTCAGCTCGTGGAAGGCAGGGACCCTAGCTATCTGATTTGCTCTTGTACAGACCTAGCCAGGAGCAGACACTGAGTAAACAGGCTTTCAAGAACTGAGTGAAGGAAGCCAGGCATGGCGGTGCACGCCTGTAATCCCAGCACTTGGGAGGCTGAGGCCTGCCTGAGCTAGAGAGAGTTGAAGGCCAGCATGTATCATATAGTCAAACCCTGTCTCAAAAAAGAAAGAAAGAAAGAAAGAAAGAAAGAAAGAAAGAAAGAAAGAAAAAGAAAGCAATGAGTGGAGGTGTTAAGGCTAAATGTGACATGCTGGGTGATACCAGGTTCCCCAAAGTGGCTCAGATGCAGACCCCGTTCAGCACAGAGGAGGGACATAGCCAGTTAATACCCAGGGCAGTCATTACCCCAAAACACAGAGAAGTGGGAGCATGGAGCAGGGAATAACTTCTGTTGGGGTTAGCCAAGGCTTCCTGGGCGTGAGGTATTATTATTTAAGATAAGCCTTAGAAATCAGGGAAGGCCGGTTACATAGATTTCTCGGCGGAGGGGAGAAAGGGGTACCAAGGAGCCAGAATCAGAGGAAGCAGGGCATGTAGAGCTCAGGCTTTCGGTAAATGAGGGCTTGGGACCAGCTCCAGGAAACTCCATAGCCTTAGATGCTCGCCAAGGGAAGACTGATCGAATTACAAAGTCACCGTTTTCCAGCCTATAATGATAACCTCCAGGCAACACTCAGGGGTAGATGTTAAGATCTTTAGATCAAGGCTCCTGAGACGAGGGCGGCCTGCATGTCCAGAGATGACGTCCCGATGTCCCCGATACTCTCTGGGAAAGGGCTAAGAACATCAGATGGAGCCTCTGCAGCCAAAGAGCCTCCGGCTTGCAGAAACAAGGCCGCTGCCTTTCACCACAGCTAGGCAATTTCTCCAACCAATAGTATGGAGCAGACACAGTGGGTGAAAACCACCAGAGACAGAGGGACAGACATGCAGGAACACTGACCAAGCACAACTCCAGGCTTTCCACAAGCTGATTCAAACATGCCACCTGCTAAGTGGCACTTTTGAGACAAGAGAGGAAACATGAAAACGGACTAGAAGCAAGAAACTTCTTAGAACTGATTGATTCTTAAGAGAAATAATGAGGAATATGGTGGCACACGCCTGTAATCGTATCTATCGGGAGGCTGAGGCAGAAGGATGCCTGGACAAACTTAGAATCTGCCTCAAAGTATAAAAGAAAAAGGGCTGGGGATGTAGCTCCATACTCCTTGCATTCAATCCCGAGTGTTCTCTCGTTCTCTCTCTCTCTCTCTCTCTCTCTCTCTCTCTCTCTCTCATTTCTAAGTGGTACACGCTTAAGTCTGGACAGATATATATTAGAACAAGCAGAGAAGCGGGGCAGCTCTCGCCCGCTCCGCAGCACGAGCGCCCCCACTCGGGCAGCCCCGGCCCCAGTCGCCCCGAGCGCGACCCACAATACTGGTCCCGCCCGCTGCAAGGCAGCGTCAGGCCAACCTGCTCCCGCTGCTCGCGGCCCTTCTCCGCGTCCGTGCGCCGTCCCAGCAGCTCCCGGAGCTGCTCTTCCTCCCGCCGGGCCGCCACTCGCTCCCCAGCCAGCTCGGCCTGCCGCAGGGCCACCTCCACCTCCACCTGCCGGGAGAAACAGGGCGTGGAGTCCGGGGGCCTAGAGCCCGGGGTCCTGAACTCGGGCACTGCGAGGGAGCACAGAGACCTGCACGGAGCGGGGCCCCTTCCCGAGATGCCCGCGGCCTCACCTCGATCTTCAGCTCCTTCTTCTGGCGCTGCAGCTCCTTCACGCGCTGCTCCATCAGGGCCACGCGCGTCAGGGCCTCCAGCTGCAGCCCTCGCAGCCGCCGCGCAGCCTCCCGCATCCCTTTCCCCGCAGGGATGGGAGCAGGGGGCGTGGCCGACATCGGTGCCGGGGGCGTGGCCTCGGGCTGAAATTAGAGGTTCCCGCAAGTTGCTAAATAAATCTGATTCCTATTCTTCACGCCTCCGAGGGAACCGCAGGGCCCAGCCTCACCAACAAGCCTAGAATCCTCATTTAAGGTCCGGGTGGGATTGGGTGCAGTCTGCTGACCACTTGACTCGTCCTACTAACATTTTCTCTGCACCACCTTCACGCAGTCCCCGGATCTCTGTCCCTGCCCCCTACTCAGGTCTTCTCAGTCTCTTTTCCAGTTTTTTTGGGCTTCTGTCCCTTCCCCTGAATCGCTCGATCTCTCTGCAGTATTCTCAAAACTTGTGTCCCTCTTTTTGTTTTCCGGTGTCTCTGAGTATCTCTGCCCTTTGTATTTGACTTTTCCCTCTATCTTTAACCTCATCTTTCCGACTCTCTAGGTCTCTTTCTCCCTTGCAGTATCAGAATTTCTGTGTCCCAGCCGGGCGTGCTTGCTCAGGCCTGAATCCAGAAGGCTGAGGCAGGAGGATTCCTTGTGTTCGAGACCAGCCTGGGCTACATAATGAGTGCAAAGCCAGCCTGAGTGAGACTGCCTCAAAAGAAAGAAAGAAAGAAAGAAAGAAAGAAAGAAAGAAAGAAAGAGACTTCTGTGACCCTGTTTCTTTTTTCTGAGCCTCTATTTCTTCTTATTTTTCCCTTTTTCTGCGTCGCTATTTCTGCTTTTCTGAGTGCCTCTGCTCTTGGTCTTTACGTTTCCTTCTGGCCCCATCTCCCTCCTCTCTCCCCTGTCTCTTCAGGGTCTCCGTCTCTAGGTCTCTGGCCTCTGCGTGTAGTCCTGTCTGGTCATCACACGTAATTCCACGTCCTGCCACCCTTTGAGTCCGCCCCAGTCTCTGCCAGGTTGCTCTCTCCGTCCCTCTCAGTCTCTCCCCGTCGCCGGTCTCTGCCTGTCTGTCAGTCTGGCCAGCTGTCCGAGCCCCCGTCCGTCTGGGATCTCCCGCGCCTGTCGCCCCCGGGCCCTCACCTCCTCGCGAGTGCTCTCCGTGCTGCTGCCTTCTCCTCCTTCTTCCTCTTCCTCGGTCTGCAGCTGCTCAGCTTCTCGGCCGCTCGGAAGCTCTTCTGGAGCCTCAGGAGCCTCCTGCTCGCGGGGCTTCTCGGGGCACCCCTGCATCTGAGCAGCCCCTTGGGGCTGAACCTCTGAGTCGCATCCCGAGACCCGCGGCGACGGAGATTCTTCGTCCGTTCTGCTCGGAGTCCCCATGATCGCTGAGGGCTGCTGCGCGTGGGCGTGGTCTGGAGCTCGGGGGCGTGACCCGGCGGGGCGGGGCGTGGCCTAGAGTCCAGCACACACGGTAGGCGGGGCCTCGAAGTTCAAAGGCTGGCGCGGAGCATTTCGAGGGCGTGGCCTGAAGTTTCCTGGGGCGGGGCATGGAGTTGGGGCAAAGTTGGGGTACCCAGCTCCCAAAGGCGGGACTGGAATTTGGGGTCGGGGTCCTCGCATGTCCCCTCCCGGGCTCTCCGACCCTGGGCCTCTCTGTTTTCCAGATGTCCTCACCCCCTCCTTAAGCGACCTCGGAGATCTCCTGGGCTCCCCGAGCGCCGCCCCTTGTCCTCCCTCCGGATTCACCCCTTCTTACTCCCTGGAGCCCCTCTGTCTTGGCCCCACCTACACCGCCTCACACCACGATCCAGGAGTTGGGGCTCCAGCACCTTGCTCTCAGGACAAGCCTGAGCCTGAGTCCGTCCCTCCCGGGAACAGGATTCCCAGCTCCGGCTCCCGCCGCCCCCGCCGCCCCGAGGCCGAGTCTGCGGCCCCCTCCTCCGGCAGCTCCCGCTCACCAGCTCCGCTCGGCGCCGCAGGCACTGCTGCTTCTGCTACGAGACAGGTGGCTGGGGAAGAGGGAGGAGAGACGCCGCCGTCCCCCTCCCCAGCAGCCCGGAAGTGCAGGGGGACAACAGGTCCGACAGCTCTCACGGGAGCAGGGAACAACCAGCTCGCCCCGCCCGTGGCACCAGGCCCTCCCGGCCCCACAGGCTCCACCCTCCAAGGACCCAGCGTCGCGACCTCCCACTCGGCCGCCAGCAGACCCACCCCTGTGCCCGCGAGGGCCAGGCACCTCTGCATGCCTGCCTCGCTGATGCCTAGCTCCTGAGTCCTCAAAGGAAGATAGGAATGGAGATGGGGGCCTCTCCCTTCTAATAATCCCTTTGGAAGGGCCCCAACCGGTTTAGGGAGCTGGACAGGGGCAGGGGGGAGCCCTGAGCTGAGTCAGTGAACAACCCAGAAACAGAGGGAAGTGTACCCCGCACACACACTGTCATGGGGTGGAGGCCAGAGGACAAAGCTCTCAGTCAGACCCTTTCCTCTCTGGGTGAAAACAGGAAACAAGCCGTGTGTGGAACAGGGTTGTTAGATGTGATAGTTGTAGGAAGCCGGCAAAGAGGTGCTCACTGGCAATCCCAGCATTTAGGAGACTGAGGCTGAAGGGTAGGAGGTTCTATTCCTGCTTGAGCAATTTAGCCAGACCCTCTCTCCAAACAAAAACGAACCCTTGGCATGGTTGGTATACACCTGTCATCCCCACCCTTTTCCAGGCTGAGGCGAGACAATGGCAAGTTTGAGCAGTCCCGGCAATTCAGTGGCTCGACAGGACCCGGTCTCAAACGAAAACAAAATTTTTAAAAGGCTGGGGCTGCAGCTCCATGGCAGAGCTCCCCTAGGGTCCCTGTCCAGTGCTATCCATGGCACATGTTAGCCCCATCCTCACAGCAGATCCCCCCTCAAAGCAACTGCAGTCTCCACTCTATACCTGGGGAACAGAGACTGGAAGTACAGATGTACCCCAGAGCTACACATTATAAATGTACCACCAACATCCTGCTCTCCAAATCCATGTGATTAACCATTAAGCAAACTGTCACAGCAAGCCAGGAAGTGCCTGAGAGATGTTCCAGACGATAGTAGTAATAGCAAGCTCTGATAGGATCAGTAGCCAGGGGGCCCTGTAGGCACATTCATGGACTTATCGGAGCATCACAAGATGATATGACTATTACCCCCATTTTACAGATCAGGAAATTGAGGACTGGAGAGGTAACTTACTCTAGGACTCCAAGTGGTTCAAAGGCAAGACAGGGTTCTAGCTGAGGTCATAAGAACACCTGCCCTGAATTCTATGGTTGCTCCTATCTTGTTAGGATCTCGGCCAAGTCAACCCCTTGGGCCCACATCCTGCCCAGCATCCCAGCCTCTCCAAAGCACCAAAGCTGACCCTGAGCACTGCAGCCCCAAAGGTTCTCTCCAAAAACAGAAGTCAAACTCACAGACAAAAAAAAAACCCCAACAACTTTATTTAAGAAGCTTGAAGAGCTGGTGGGTGGTGGGGTTGGAGGGGAGGGAGGTACAGTGATGACAGCTCCCCCTTCACCCCACCCAGTGCATTCTTGACAACGGACATGAGCTCCTGACGGGACAGGTCAGAAAGGTGGGGTCTGCACCCCACATTGCATGTTGGCTGGAACAGCAACATCTGAAAAGAAAAACCATGCATGGAACTAAGGGCCTGGCAGATTCCTGCCCCAGTAAGGACCCAGGATCAAGAAAAGCTCTTCTCTGTGGAGTTACAGTTCTGGTCCTGAGCCCATCTTCTCTCAGGCCCAACCTCTTCCCTCAAACCCGGGGGTCCAGGCCCAGCCTCTTCCCTCAGACCCGGGAGCTTCGGGTTCAGCCTCCTCCTCAGACCTTGAGGATCAGGCCCAGCCTCCTTCCTCAGACCCAGGGCTCCAGGCCCAGCCTCCTCCCTCAGATCTGGGATCCAGCTCCAGCCTCCTCCTCAGACCTGGGGATCAGGCCCAGCTCCTCCCTCAGACCCAGAGGTCCAGGCCCAACCTCTTCCTTCAGGCCCGGCAGTTCCAGGCTCTGCCTCCTCACTCAGATCTGGGGTCCATGTCCAGCCACCTCCCTCAGACCCAGAGTCCAGGCCCAGCTCCTCCCTCATACCCAGAGTCCAGGCCCAGCATCCTCCCTCAGACCTGAGGTCTAGGCCCAGCCCTATTCTCAGATCAAAGAGTGGGGTTCCCCAGGTACTCACCTATTTGCTCAGGTTTGGGCAAGTTCAGGTTGTCCATCACCTTGACAAATTCCTCAGAGCTGAGGGTGAGCCGAGGGTTCAGAGTCCGTTCCTCTCCCACAGTGGACACTGTAAACCCTAGTATCCAAGGGGGGCAGGGAAAGTCAAGGGGCCCAGTACAACATCCTGGGAAGCATCTCCCTGGCCTGGAACTAACAGGCTCTTCCCAGAACATTCCTAAATCTTTTTTTCTCTTCTCAGTGGGCACTATGGGAAATGCTGTACCCTGAACTTACAAGGAACTCCAGGCAAACTCAGGCCCCAAGGAACACTGAGAGTTGTGTAGTTCCTACAACCACACACTGCACTCCCAGGCACTGAACCTTTTTGACCAGAGGAAATTCTGGGACTTGTAGTCTCTTGTGGTCTCCTGTAGTCCTATGAAGATTACAGGAGTTTGCCAGCCCCTCTCACAAGCAAGGGAAGCCCCCACCTCCTCCAGCAAGGGCTCACCATGGTAATCATGAGCAGGGTAGATCAGACACTCCCCTGGAAGCGTGAAGATCTTTTTGTGGACCGAGTTGTACAAGGTCTTAGCACAGCCTAGGGAAGGAAAGCTCAGAGGTTAGCGGATAGGAGAAGCCCCTAGGAAAAGCATGGGAGGAGGAAATCTCTATAGCTAAACTCCTCGGCCAATTCCCCTTTGTCTGGGCACAAGGAAGGGCATTCTAGGCAGGTGGAAGAGCATGTGTGAAGGACTGAGGAATGGGAATAGGTTAACCAGTATAGTAGGTGCTCAGGAAGTGGAGACGAGCTGAAGCCTGAGGAGCTGCAGCCCACCCTGGGGCGTCCAAGAAGGTCCTGGGTGAGGAAAATGGACAGAGCCAGCAGCTAAGCTGCTCCCAGATTCTTGACCCACAGAAACACCGTGGGACAGCATAAATCAATGTTTACGCCACTAGGTTTGGGGCTACTCGTTACACAGCAATAGATGACTAGTACACTCATGAAAGTAACCATCCCCTAAAAGCTGGCCGCATAAATTTCTCCCTCACTCTAGTCACTCAACCATTTGAATTTGATACTGACCCCCTAAATACCTCAAGTGCACCCACCTATTCATTCCTGTTACTGATACAGAATACCCTGGCACACACTATGGCCCTGGGCTGGGTAAAGGCGGAGTCACCTTGCTGGAAGTCCGTTCGCCCACACCCTCGGATCAGCAGGGCATCTCCAGTGAACGCCATGCTGTGGTCATTCAGGACAAAGGTGACACAGCCTGGGGTGTGGCCAGGGCTGGCCCGGGTCTCCAAGGCCTGGCAGGAGCAGGGAGTAGAGAGAGTCACCAACCAAAAAGCTTCAAGGTCCCTAGTCCACGAGGCTCACCCAGCCCAGGGTCCCGTCTAGATGAAGAGATCAGCAAATTTGGCTTAAAATCAATTCAAAGTTTCTGAATGGCAACCTGCACCCTCCCTCCCCCGGCAGCACTGTGTGGGGTAGCCCCAAGCCCGGAACTAACTGCAGTAAAGAATGGAGAACAGAACTGAGAACAGAGAGGCGGGCTGGAATCCCCGGAGCCTGCTACATAGTCAGGACAAGGCCTTATTCTCAATCTAGATGGAGAATATTTGCCACTGGGAAAAGGCATGTGGACAGCCAGCCCCGCCCCCTGGTGGGCTGAGCTGGCCACACACACACACACACACACACACACACACACACATACACACAAATAAATAAATTAAAAATTTAAAAAAAAAAAAAAAAAGAAAAGAAAAGGCACGTGGATAAGGGGAAAGGACAGTCCCAGCCCTCTGGAGACTGTGTGCACGCTCCCCTGCTGCTCTGAGGTATGGGGATCCAACCCGAGTCACACCCCTGCCCTTCACATTTTGAGACAGGCTCTGGCTACCTTGCTGGCTACAGGGTCTAGCTTTGAAGTTGTGATGCTCCTGCCTTGGGCCGCCGAGTTACTGAGATTACAGGTGTCACCAGGCTCTTGGGGTGGTCTTCAAAGAAAAGTCATGAGGTGATAAAGAAGGGCTAGGGTGCGGCTCGGCACAGGCCATGTGTGCGCGCATGTCTATACCACCTGGGTTCCAAGCCCAGCGGCAGTAGCAGTGAGGGAAAGGGGAAGGGGGGGAGGACAGGGGGAGGGGAGAGCAGAGAGAAGGAGAAGAGAGAGGAGAAGGGGACAGGAGAGCAGGGGCGAAAGAAGAAGCAACAAACAGAAACAACGTCTGTGGGCACAGACAGCGGGAATGGACCGGGTGCGGGGGACCATGATGACGGTCCTCACTCTCCCCTTCCAGCCTAACGACCTCACCTAAGCGAAGGCTCCTCCATCAGCGCCACCTTAGATGCCAACCGCCTCCTCCTCTTCTCACTGTGTTTCACCTGGCTCTGACTTCCCTGATCAGAACAAGCTGCTTCAGCTTTCCATCTGAAGCACCCTCCCCGCCTGACCAAGGCTCAGACTCCAGTTTGCAGCACTACTGCGACGTGCGCCACGAACCTCAGGCTCCAGTGATCCTCCTGCCTCAGCCTCCTGAGTGCTAGGAGGACAGGCCTGCGCCACCAGTTTCTTGAAAAGAATCTGCAAGGCTTCCAGCTTTTTCCGCCTTCTTCTACCCACCCCCCTGGGCCTTGTGTATGTTAGCCAAGTGCTCTGCCACTGAGCTACATCCCTTTTCATTTTATTTATTTATTTTTATTTTTTACTTTTTAGCAGAACCAGGGACTGAACTCAGGCCTTTGCACTTGCCAGGCAAGCACTTATTCTACGGAGCCATCTCCCCAGCCCCCTTTTCATTTTATTTTGAGATACGGTCTTGTTATGTTGCCCAAGGTGACCTTCCGTTTGCCATCCTCCTGCCTCGTCCTACTGAGTAGTGGGCCTTACAGGCACACCTCTCCATGCCTAGCATTCTTTCACGTGTTTTTAAACATGCTCCCATGAAACTATTATCATGATCAGACGAAAAATATTTCCACCACCTCCCAAATTTTCCTTGTGCTCCCTTCTGAAATTCTGTTTGTCTGCTCCTGTGAGACAAAGGGTTTCACTTTGTAGTTCGGGCTGGCCCCAAACTCATGACAACCCTCCTGCCTCGGCATCTTGTGCTGGGATCACAGGCATGCGCTACCATGCCTGGCTCTTGTGTTTCTTTCTAATCCTGGCTATTCCACCCCAGACAACCCCTGAGCTATTTTCTGTTATTGTACATTAGTTGCCACATTATGGAAATAGAATCAGTAAAAATAAGCGATCTCGGGAACCAGGGAGGATGGGCCCTAAGCTTACGTCCTTAAATAGCTGTGTGACCTCAGGCAAGTTACTCCACCTCTCTGGGCTTGTCTGCTCATTGTAGAAAGGAGATAATAACAGTAGCCGGCTCACAGAGCCGACATAACTATTTCATGTATATAAAGCACCTAGAAAAGTACTCGGAAAACACTAAGTGCTGCATAATAAAAATAAGAATAATGACTTAAAATTTAAAAACTACTGATCTAGTAGAATTACAAAGCCTCCTGGGGTCAGGCTGGGCATGGTGGCACACACCTGTAACCCCAGCAGGCTGAGGAAGGAGGATCGTCACAAGTTCAAGACCAGCCTGGGCTACAAAGTAAGTTCAAGGGGCTGGAGAGATGGCTCAGTGGTCTAAAGCACCTACTTGGAACAAGCTTGGCAAAGCACAGGGACCGCGGTTCGATCCCCCACACCACATGCCAGCCAGCCCCGCCCACAGGTGGGCTGAACTGGCCACACACACAATAAATAAAATGTAAAAATAAATAAATAAATAAATAAATAAATAAAACAAAGTAAGTTCAAGGCCAGCCTGAACTGCACAGGGAGACCCTGTCTCGAAATTAAATAAGAATAAGCTTTGTTGATTCCTAAATACAAACACATGACATCGCTGCCCCCATAATGACAAAGCCACTCAAAAACTTGTCACCGGCCCCACCACTCCCTGATGCCTGTGACTAGGTGTCAGCAGCTGTTCTTACTTTACCTATGGGCTCAGTTTTCCTAGAACACAGTTACAAGTCAGAAAGGGAGTCAAACATCCTTATCAAAAGATAACCTGACATGGGGCTGGTGAGATGGCTCAGTGGTCTAAAGCACCTACTCAGAACAAGCTTAGCAAAGCACAGGGACCGCGGTTCAATCCCCCAGGACCACATGCCAGCCAGCCCCGCCCCCTGGTGGGCTGAGCTGGCCATAAATAAAATAAAAAAAAAAAAAAAAAAAGATAACCTGACAGCCGGCCAGATAGCTCAGTGACTTAGACAGAGCACAGTGGCCAGGGTTCAATCCCTGGTATGCCGTGCCAGCCCCGCCCCCAGGGTGCACTGAGGCAGCAATAGAGACTGGGTGTGGTGGCAAGCGCCTGTAATCCCAGCGCTTGGGAGGCTGAAAACAGGAGAAGGTAACCTATAGCCAGGTATGGTGATACACAGATTTAGTCCCTGCATTCAGGAAGCTGAGGCAGGAAGACCTTGAGGCAGGAAGACCTTGAGTTCAAGGCCAACCTGGACCACAGTGAGATCCAGTCTCAAAAACAAAACAAAGACTGGGCACAGGCCCGTAATCCCAGGGCTGCGGAGGCTGAAAACTGGAGGATCACTATGATTCCGAGATGCATAGTGAGATCCTATACCAAAATACATCAAAAGCAAAACAAGAAAAAAACAACAAAAACCCAAGCACTTCAGTAACATTTCACAACACAACTAGGAGGGAAGCGCATACAATCACAGCAAGAACAAGATCAGATGTGGGGGGTTTTGGCCTGGAACCAACTGTGTGCCAGCAAGTGTCCCAACAACCTTCCAGGGCTGTACCCACTTAGTCCTCATACTGGGGTTGTGCCCATTTTCCACATGGGAATACAGAGGCCTGGAGACATACAAAGCTCAGGGTCCCAGGACAGGAAGTGGCAGCCCAGCCTGCCCCGCCTGTAAGGGCTCTGAAGCTTGTAGTCTCTGCATGCCAGGGCTGAATTAAGAGTAGACTGGTGTCACCCTGTAGTCTGTGACAGGGTAGTGAGTGAGGGAACCACAGAGAGCTCTGGGGCCTGAGGCTGGGGAAAGGTGTGGTCCTGCCACCTTCACAGCAGGACCATCTGTTCAAACCGCCCTCTGTCACCTGAGGGAGGAAAACTGGGCGGGTCGCAGCAAGGCTCGGAATTCTGTCCGCCCACATTAACCTCTAGTCACCTGGCTCCCGGCTACAGAGCACAGTATTCAATCCTGATGGCCTTCGAGATGAAGGCTGAGGACGTTCGCCAGCAGAGCTTAGCTCCATGCCTGGTGAGAAGCAAAGGCTGGGGTCTATCACTGTTACCTACTATTAACCGGCGCAAAACAATCTACAGTCAACTTTTGTCTGTGGGAAGGAGAACTTTTAGAAGAAGTTGAGTGACACCAGGAAGAAACACTCAAACACGTCTCCAATGTGGGACACCCTGTAATGCAAGCCAGGAAGCCAAGCGTCTCAGGGCTTGAGGCCACACACCCATGATCCCAGCACTCTGGGAGGCTGAGGCAGGAGGTTCACAAGTTCAAGCCCAGCTTGGGCACTGTAGTATCATAGCAAGGCCCTTCTCCACATAAAAGAGGGCTTGAAGTACAGTTCAGTGTGAAGGCCCAGGCCATATATATACACACAAAACCCCTCAAAATCATAAAGCAAAAAGGAGATAAAACTGTTCTAGCCCAAGAGACTATATACCAGTAATAACCACGAGCCAAGAAACTTGACTGGGTCCTGGTCCCCTAAAAAGCTATAAAAAATTACTCCTGGAATAAGTGGAGACAATATGAATATGGGCTGAATATTTACTGATGTTATAAAGATCCTATATATTTTGTTATTTTGACAAAGGTTATGTCAAGGGGCCAGGGAGATGGCTCAGTAGAATAAGCGCTTTCCTGGCAAGCACAAGGGCCTGAGTTCAATCCCCGGTTCCACAAAAAAAAAAAAAAAAAGTGGTTCTCAAAGTATAGATAGAGACTGGGGTGATAGTTTGGTGGTCTAAACGCCTGCCTGGCAAGCACAAGGATCCCGGTTCGAATCCCCGGTGCCACCTGTCATGCTGGCTCAGGGTTCCTGGGCATGCAGTGCCAGCCACCAAAACCAGGCAGAGTGGTGCACACCTGTAATCCCAACAATGGGGAAGCTGGGGCAGCAGGCTCACTGCAGGTCCAAGCTGTGTAGTGAGACCCTGTACCAAATAAATAAACGAGTAAAAGATTTTGTTCTTAATTTTTAAAAAAAGTATAGATAGGGGAATCCTAAGGGCCC